TGGCAAGGACGTTTTCCTATAATGAGCGTTTCTTACGGTTTATGTTCTCGGTGTTTTAATGTGAGATGCAATGAACTTATTTCATATTAATACTTGTCAAAATATGGCTAATTAATAAAGGGTATATATAATTAGATCATAAATTACCTATTATAATTGATACTTAAATACAGTAATTGACGGAAGATTTAATAAAGTGTTATGTTTTACATAAACTTCTTAATTAATTTTTAATTTAGCTTGCAAGTTCAATCACACCTAGTTTGTAATTTATTTTTAGCACCAATGACTGTGATTTTATTTAATATGTTTATCACGAACAATTCGAATTTGCAAGGAAATTCGAATTCTTCATAATCTATATCGAGTGGTTTTGGAGATATACAGGGCGAGTCTTAAATAAGTGCAAATATTTTAAGGGGTAAAGCACGATTATGAGTTTTTTTCGCGAAAAATTAATTTTGAAAATTAGGAATTTTTTGAAAACTTTTTTGGATTTTTTTTTTAATTTTTAGTTAAAAAAACATAATATCTTGATAATAGATAGACAACATAGGTAGTAGATTAAATTTACAAGAAAGAAAACCCAGAAAAGATCCAGTGGTTCTCAAGATTTAAGGAAAACATCATTTTTTTGGAAATTTTCAAAGTAAAATAACTTGGTTATTTTGGACTTATTTGAAAAACGGCAAAGAGAAAATATATCTCATTTATCAAGATCTACCAGCCCTGAAAATAGTTGCACTTATTTAAGACTCACCCTGACAATTTTTAAAGTAAATTTTCTGCCTGCCTATTTATTACCTATTTAAAGTACAAAAATGTCTATAATAGCAAGTGAATTAAGATTTTTGAACTGGATGAAAAACGTAATGCAAAGCAAATTACGAGCGAAATAGTAGTTTAGAAATACTAATCCCTTGTCTATACCATCGACCAACTTTATATTTATTTTTTCAAAATATCAGGAAAATAAATACCGTATGATCGAAAAAAAACGGCGTCCAGTTGGCTGGGAAATGACGATCGATGACATTTCCCATATAATTTTACATATAAAATGACAGCGATCTTCACTTCATAGCCATCGTTGACGCCGTTTTTTCTCGATCATACGGTATATTATGTTGGACGATGAAATCCATGAGAGACTGGTTAACGAATAATATTATATTTTTTTGTCAGGATTTTTTTCATCATTATGAAGTTTTAATGAATTTGGGGAATGTAATCACCATTTTTAAAAAGGTCTCTTCCTGTTTCACCGGAAATGACTACAATTTTTGATTTTTAAACGACACCCTCGGTATTTTTTCTAACTTTATTCGATAGAAAATGACACTCTAGTAGGAGATATTAGCCGATTGGGCTCCTCCACATGCGCAGTTCGCTTGACCTTGACATATGTGGCTTTCAAACCTCCTTGAGTGATTCCAGAAAGAACCTTGTTGTGAGACCTTAAACGACCTTTAAGGTTGACTTTCAGATGTATTTGAAATGCGTTTGTGTACCCTTCACAAGGACGCATGTGGAGGAGCCCAATCGGCTAATATCTCCTACTCACTCTGAATAGAATGGCATATCATATGTCAATTTTTGACATTTTCGAATATGGTTTATTTCGTGTTTATTTGAAATTGCAACATGCGAGTCATAACGACAATTTAACTCGAAATATATACAGGGTGCTACAAATTCGAGGTACGAGCATTGGTATCTCAGTAACGGTAATAGATACGAACATGGTCAAATTGGGGCAAAGTTGCGCTTTGTGATGTTCACCAAGACGCCATCAAAAAAGTTTTAAAAATTTCAAGGATTTTTGAGTTTTTTGGAAAAAAACAGATTTTTTTGAAAATGAATTTTATTTTTTCCTGTCGTTACTTTTAAGAAAAGCAAAAAACTAATTGCACTTTCTCATAGCCACTTTATAAGAGCTATCTGATAGTATTTTTAGATTTTCAAATTAGCTGATAGTTTGGGAGATACAGAGAACAACTTAATTTTTTTAAATACGGACCTGCATTTTTTATTTCCGGTTTTGAAAGAAATCGGTCTCCTGAGTACAATGATATGCACACTTTATACTTTTTTTTTGTTTTGGGTACCTTAACAACAAAAAAACTATTTAATTATTATTTAAAATAATTTCAAATCCGACTCTATTTTTTAATTATTTAATCTGATTATATTCATCGCAACAATATTGATCAGCGCTAATTAACATTGAATAAGGAAAATCGAGCCAATTGGAAAATTCAAATAAATTATATCCAGGTCAGCAATTTAAAGATATTATTTTTAAGTTTTTTTATTGTGAATTTGAAATCTCAGTGTGGCGATCTAATAATATGCGTAATATTCATCGTAGTAAAAAATAAATCAACTTCTAAAAACTAGTTTTTAATGCTCGAAATGTTCGAAAGGGTTACCACCCTCCCTATTGCACAAATTTATTTTTCGTTCAATTTTATTTATAGCTCTTTGAATTTTCTTCTTATACTTCCGAAAGCATTTTGTACTCTTTATTGTAAATGTTGAGATGTATTGATTTCACTTTTACAAATGACGTGAAGTAATGTATTCATTTGTATATTATTTTTTATTATTTTATGGCATTTCATTTTCTATATTCAATGTTTTACCCCACATCATTGTTAAGTTTGAAAGCTTATCAATAAGTTAGCCAGGAAGTTATTCAATTAACGATGAATAGATTAAATATTAAAAACACAGAGCCAGGACTTGAAATTAGTTTAAATAAATTGTGTTCAAATGTCAAAAACAAAAAGAAATATTAAGTGTGGCATATCATTGTACTCAGGAGACCGAGTTCTTTCAAAATCTGAAATAAAAAATGCAGGTCCGTATTTAAAAAAATTAAGTTGTCCTCTGTATCTCACAAACTATCAGCTAATTTGAAAATCTAAAAATACTATCAGATAGCCCTTATAAAGTGGTTATGAGAATGTGCAATTAGTTTTTTGATTTTCTTAAAAGTAACGACAGAAAAAAATAAAATTTATTTTCAAAAAAATCCGTTTTTTCTAAAAAACTCTGCAATCCTTGAAATTTTTAAAACTTTTTTAATGACATCTTGGTGAACATCCCAAAACGTAATTTTGCTCCAATTTAACTATGTTCGTATCTATTACGGTTACCGAGATACCAATGCTCGTACCTCGAATTTGTAGCACCCTGTATAAATGTGTGGTACCAAATTATTCGTAAAAAATGTTTTTTCCAAATATGCTAATGAGCCACCCCGTTCCATTTGAAAAAATTGAGATTCTGGGCATCTTTTAACCAGACAAAACATTAAAAACATTAGACGATCAAATCTATTTTTCCAAGGCTTCTTGATTAAAAATTAGTGTTTTTCACATAGCAATGGCACCCTAAATTGAAATTTAAAATATTCTATAATTTTGTTTTAAGCAAAAATGTCAAAAGTTGACATATGATATGTCATTTTATTCAGAGTGTCATTTTCTATCGATTAAAGTAAAAAATTACCGAGGGTGCCATTTAAAAATCAAAAGTTGTAGTCATTGCCGGTAAAACGGTTGATTGACGTATTCAATTGTTTTCGGTCACTTCCTGTTTCACCGGAAATGACATATCATACGTCAACTTTTGACATTTTCGCATATGGTTTATTTGAAATTATAACTAGCGGTTCGTAACGAAAATTTGACTCGAAATACCAAGTGAGTGGTATCAAATTATTCGTAAAAAATGCTTTTTCCAAATATGCTAATGAACCACCCTCGTTTCATTTAAAAAAAATGAGATATGCGTAAAAATACGATTTGAGCATTTTCTAACTAGCCAGGATAAGAAACTAAAAACATTCCAAGGCTCCTTGATTAAGAATTAGTGATTTTAACATACCGTGGCACTCTAGATTGAATTTTAATATACAATTTTTTATTAAGCGAGAATGTCAAAACTTGACATATGATATGTCATTCTATTCCGAATGTAATTTTCTATCGAATAAAGTAAAAAAATAACGAGGGCGCCATTTAAAAATCAAAAGTTGTAGTCATTTCCGATCCAAATTAAACAGGAAGTGACCAAAAACAATTGAATACGTCAACCAATCCTAATTTATGTCATATACTAACATACCAAATCTCGTTTTTTTTATCTGAAAAAATAAAAAAGCTATAGGGGTGAGCCACTTTTGAGACGCACCCGGTATATTGAAAAATAAATTCTTTTGTCAAGAAAATATTCTAACAATTTCTTAGTAGTTAAATTTGAAAATTACTATAAACACTATTTTTTTCACTCAAGATTTTCTATGTAGAAAGGGCCTCTAGTAAAAATCTATTAAAAAATGCAAGACTTGCAAGAGTCTTGCAAGACTAAGACTAGACCCTGCAAGACCAAGACCAACGATCTTTCGTTTGCTCATCTTCACTGCTTTCAAATGAAAAACCCACCATATTTATTTTTTTATCAATTTTTTTATTCTATATTTGTTTAATATAGCTAGGGTTATCATGTTGCTATACCTATAATAAACCGTTTTAAAATTAAAATTAAAAAAAGTATTTTTTTAAGAAAATAATGTAACAATAAATGCAGAGATATCATTTACTCAGACTAATCATATTAACACTGAATATTTAATGTAGTCACTGTTTTAAGTTTGAGTAAAATTATAATAGTATTAAATAATTAAACTAGCCAAGGATACTAACCAAAATTTTGTCAAATAAAACAGCCTTCAAACCCTTTCGGCGGTATTCAAACAACGCGTATTTTTAAGAAAAAATACTGACCTTTGTCTAAATGTCAATTCCTACACACCAAAGTCTGATGTAATGGAAATCAGATATTTACATTTTATTTATTAGTAACACTCTTTTATTTCTTGTTGCTAATGATGTTTAAACAGAAAAAAATTGTCACATAATGGCGAGTCTATTCAATGCTCTATTGAGGACCGCAGGCACAGAGGAACATATTCATCAAAAAGATTGTTAATTTCCTGTCTTCCACCTACTGAAACTTCACTGTCTCTACGTTTAAACATCGTATTAGAGACCTGGATAAACCTGGTTCTCGTGGTGCTAGATTGCTTCTCGGGAAAAAAGCTAAAGAAATCAGTTTTTTAGTGACAGTGCCAAGATAAATGAGTAAGTTATTTTAACTGAACTCTACCTTAACTTTACATAATCAAAGTAACGTTTAATTAAACGACATATTTTATTTATATTTAAAGTACATACAGGGTGTCCCACTTAAGATGGATACAAGCCAATATCTTGATTGTTTGTTGAGCGATCTTTTTCGTTTTTGGCAGGAGGCTGTATGGCTATAAGACGTACATTTTGCCTAGGGTAAGAAATGCGATACCTCATAGACGTACGTTTTAATGGGGTTTGATATTTTTCGAGTCAAGAGTAAACTACCTTTAGGACAGTATTTATTTCAAATCTGATAAATTATATTGAATCCTCCTTACCTAAGATACTTAAGTTCTTACTTTGATAAATATTGATACAGGGTGCGTCATTAAAATAAAACATTTTTATTTTTATTATTATTTTTTAAGTACTTACGACGCCACTGGATAAACAACAGGTTTATTATCAATAACCAATTATCAATTAACTTATTTTGTTTACTTTAAAAAATTGTTTTTTAAATTTGCTAATACAAATGAATAAAATGAGTTACAAAATAATTTAAAAAAATTCTAATAATTAAAAAATTAATTAAATTATTAATAATTTCAATGGAATCTGAAATATGATTTTTATTCGTTTTTTTTGAGGAATATTTTAAAAAATCCAAATAGTTAGATATTTAAAACAATCACTATTAACTTTGAAAAATATGCTCTAAACAAAGATTTATAAAACTATAACGAACTAAAAGTCAACATCTTCGACCAAACCACCATAAAAAAAACGATTATTAATTGATAATTGGTTATAATTGGTTATTGAAAATAAACCAGTTGTTTATCCAGTGGCGTCGTAAGTACTTAAAAAAAAAATTAAAAAAAATAAAAATGCCTTATTTTAATGACACATCCTGTATCATTATTTATCAACATTAGAACTTATGTATCTTAGGTAAGGAGGATTCAATATAATTTATCAGATTTGAAATAAATACTGTCCTAAGCGTAGTTTACTCTTGACTCGAAAAATATCAAACCCTATTAAAACGTACGTCTATGAGGTATCGCATTTCTTATCCTGGGCAAAACGTACGTCTTATAGCCATACAGCCTCCTGCCAAAAATGAAAAAGATCGCTCAACAAACAACCAAGTTATTGACTTGTATACATCTTAAGTGGGACACCCTGTATATATCGGGTGGTGCATCGTCGTTGGAAACATAGGAAATCCGATGCAAATTTTAAACTGTTCAAATATTATTGGCTCCCCTATTGATTTTATAGCGAAGTTGTAAATAGATTTTTTAAAGGTCTACGTTTGGTAAACACACATGCCAAATTTCAACAGTCTTGGACAAGCGGATTTTGAGTAATTTGAGAAAAACTGCATCTATTTTTAAATTAAAATTGAACAGGTAACAATCAAACACCAGTCAAAAACCGACATACATTAAGTTGTCAACGCCATTTTCAAACCGTAACTTAATTTTAATAAAAGTTTAATATTCAGTAGTAGTATTTTATTGTTATACACATGAAGAAAAAGTGAGTATGATAAAAGTTGAGTATGATAAATGAGTATGATAAAACTACGCAGGAAATTATCTTAGACAGTATATCTGACATCTTTCGGTTAATTTTTCCTGAATATTAATATTAAATTACTTTTGACAATGACAAAATCATAGTTTGTAAACCTAAGGTATGTTGGTTTTTGACTGGTGTTTGATTGTTACCTTTTTGGTTCTAATATAAAAATAGATGCAATCTTTCTTAAATTACTCAAAATCGGCTGGTCCAAAATTGTTCAAATTTGGCATGTGTATTTGCCATGCACAAACCATTAAAAAATCTATTTTCGACTTCGCTGTAAAATTATTAGGGGAGCCAATATTTGAACAGTTTAAAATTTGCATGGGATTTCCTATGTTTCCAACGACGATGCACCACCCGGTATATTTCGCAAATTAGATTTCGAATAAATGTTGTGTTATCTCTATTACTAAATATAGCAGATATCCGGAATCGTTGTTGAAAACAGGAAATCCCATGCAAATTTTGAATTATCCAAATATTGGCTTCCCTATTGATTTTACCTCTTTTACAGCATTTATGGAATTTCGGCGCGGTTCGGCTTTTTCCGGAATTATGTCGCCCAATATTATTTATTCAAATTTATTATTATTTTCTTTTAATTTTTTAAATAAAATACAGTGTGTTGCATATAAGAAATTTTATTTTATATAAGGACAGGTATGAAATAAACTGAACACTGGAAACGGACGCGACGTTATGCTACGATTCACAATGATTTTTGCAGTTCACAGTTCACACAACTTTTTAAGTTTTTAATGCCACTTTTTCACAATTATCACGGGTTTGAGTAAATAATATTTTAATTAAACTCACAAGATAGCAATAATTACTTTCAAAAAGGAAGCTTTAAACACTTTTCGGTATTTTTTCAATGAGGGAGGTTTAAGTTTTAATTTTATTATTTTTTAAGATTCTGACTTTGACAAGAAAAAATGATTTCTGTTCTTGTTTGCGGTTGTTCTTAGCAACCGTTATAGCAGCGCCCTACAACGTATGCGCTCCAAAACAATTATAAGTTTTGGCGGCAAGAGCATTCCAATCTAAACTTGTTTCCTTTATCTATGATTACTAACAGTGGCGGATTAAGCCTGTCGGGGGCCCGGGGCGGCGAAGCTAAATGTGGCCCCCGGTCTGTTCAGATAATGATATACTTCTAATGCACATTTTGTAAAGATGGAATGACGTATGTATAATGGTTGACAAAATTCAAGTATTTATACAGGGTGTCCCAGGCTGAGCGTACATTAGAAGTTTCTAAAGAACTACAATATCTAGATCGGAGATTTTTTGCATATCATTATTTCACATCGAGATCTATCGATTAAAAACATTTTCAATATGGCGGCACTTCTGGAAGTACCGGAAGTTGACAGCAACTTTCTTATTTTAAACGGGTGCCCTCATATTTTTTCATACTTAAATTCTCTCTACAATTTTATGAATTTTGATATTAAACACTCTATACCTAACGTTAACTGTTTTTGAGGAAAAAAAATATTTATAATTTTTGGACAAAAAAATCTTCTTGTCAAAAATATGTGTATAGCCTAAATGTCAAATTTTGTGATTACCACAGCCATTAAAGACCATAAAGAGAAGACATGTGGCTATCTATTTCAAAAATTAAATTGTGTCTGAATAAAGCATTGTGGCCGAATGTCATATAATAATGGCCGCAGCTGTCATGGAACTCCGCGATTAAAAAATTATCATAAATCATTTTTTTCAAATGGAAATCCACTTTTTTATTTTACTAGTGAAAAGGCTTTTCAATTAGTTACTTTCTGACTATACATGTTCCTATACCGAAAATAAATCGTTCTTCAGTTATTTAAGATTTAGTTAAAAGCGTATACCTAGAGTTAGAGCGTATATTTTTCTTGATTTTAACCAGTAGGCCTATGACTTTAAACGTCAAGTGATATAACAATAGAGCTGGCCATGTTATATTGTGAAACTTTGTTCAAAAATCAGTATATTCTCGATCATCATTTCCAAGCCAACTTTGCGCTGTTTTTTTTTCGATCATACGGTATATTATTAATAATATCAACTATTAGATATCACTAAAGATCGAAAATACGAGATATATTTTTATAAATACACTTATGCAACTAAATTAGAGGAATAATTCACCACAATACATAAAACTCTAAGATTTAATCATCTGCTGATGATATTAAAACATGGTTAGCGAAATGCGCGTCTAGTGCAAAAATAAAGTGTTTTAGTGTATTGTGGTAAATTAGTGTTTTATTTTGCTGTTGTAACACCAAAGGTTCCAACCCCATTGTAATAAATTAGAGGGATTAAATTATTGAACATAATTTTGCTAACGAGCCACATACTTCTATTCACGAACATTCACAGCATTAGATCGGGAAATCGCGAATGTTCGTATGTATTTAATGGCAACTTATGATGACAAAGTGATGAAAATACCGGTTCCACAAATGAGCCGCGTTACTTTCGCGACTGTTCGCGTGTTCCAGGGAAATACCGCTATAAAATATCGCGATTTTGTAAGCCCTCCAAGATTCGAGGGGCCCCTTCGCTGTCTCAGGCTCGTGGCCCCCGTTATACTAAAGACGGCAGTACTCACAATCGGTTAAAAAGCTAGAATGTTATACTGTGCATAGGTTGCTATTTAAAATGTTTATCCAGTAAAAATACATAAACCATTGAAATATAGCTAAAATAAATAAATTCAAGTTTATATTCATAATTATAGTAATCTTTAAAATTATGAAAAATAATAATTATTCTATATTTTAAACAAAGAAAATTACTCCTTGATTTAATTTCCTAAATAGAAAATACTATTGAAAAATATTGAAAATACTGGGGCCTGATAATTGACAATTATTAAGTAAATATCTGCTTCTATTTATACTGTTTATAGTTTGCGTATACGTATGGTTTGCATACTCCACCTACAAATTGCTTCATAACTACTGAACACATATTGGTCTTGTTTGCCAGTTGAATAAAAAATTACTTATTGAGATTTGGATGCCCCCTGAAAGATGGGACACGGGGCGGACCGCCCCTTCCGCCCCCCCTTAGTCCGCCACTGATTACTAGGTCTAAATATTATAAAATTTGATTAAATCACGTATAAAAACGGTGTCCAAAAAGGAGTAAAACACTCAGGAGGTGATTGATACTTAAAAAATAAGGGAAGTTTCCATACATCTTTCCCTAGAACGTTCCCCTCTGGTTATGTTATATGCTTATATTATCTGTATATATTTTATGCAAATAGGTAATATGAGTATTGCTTGATATGCTGTCATTACAGTGTCATATACTAAATAATTCAATGTAAATCGCTTTTAACATAATTGCTGAAGATACAAGGTTTTCAGCAGTGGAGAATCTAAACTTCTTTTGGCAGGACCAAATTGGCACAAAATAGGATTTTTTGAACCAAACTCATAATTTTATCAACTTTCAAAAACAGATCGGCAACATCATAGGTGAATCAATGGAGCACCTGGCCCCCACAGGGCCCCCCTAAGGCCAACTCTAGTTTTCAGAGATATTTAATTGTTTTAATTCGATACCTGCGGCTTACCTACGCGGCGTATCGAAAAACTTTAAATGTAGGAGTTCAGTACATAGGTACTTAGACACAAAAAATGGGAGTTTTACAAATGATTATAAAAAAGATAGTTTTATTAATAATAAACGTCATTAACAGCATTTATTTATTTACCTCTTTTAAAAATAAGTATTTTTTTATAGAACAGAATGCCTAACACGAAGAAAAATAAGCAACAGCCTCATTCGAGAGCAATGAGCAAACAAGACGAACTACTGGCCGAACAGACCAGATATTTTCTTAATATTAATAAGAAGATATCAAAAACAGAAGCCCTCAAACAGTTTATATGGAATCCAGAAACAAAAGCTTTCATGGGAAGGACCGGTTCGAGTTGGTGTAAGTAAAATTAAATTAATTAATATTTAAACGTACTGGTAATTTGCAAGCTCTCAAGCTTCATACAGAACCTCCAAATTAGTAGAATAAATTAGTGGGTTTCAATTAACGTAGAAGTTTGTTCCTTTATTTTCCTTTAATTAAAAAAAATAGAAAAAATAAAAAAAAATAGATTCGTACAGGGAAAGGTTGTATTGGTTGTCCCATACTACTATTTTATATTGTTTATTCCATCTCTGTACAAATATGAATGGTTTTGTACTCGCCAAAGGAGCAATTTAACGCTATTTTAAATTATCTCAACTGACTAATCTAATGCTCTGACGCATACGACATTATGTGTTAGTTAATTTGCCTTTATCTTGCAATTTTGTTTTGGTTTGCTCCGGTTTTAACAAAATTTCGTGTATTATTAGTTTACAGACGACGGTAAATCACTTGAAAATTACTGCTGGTGGTGGTAGGTGGAGTTATAGCGCGGTATAATACTAAAATATACAAGGCGTTTCAAAAAACATGTACCATCCCTCGTTGGGAGATTTCTCACGTAAAAATAAGATTTATATTTTATATTAACATAGGTCCGATTCTGCTTTGTTTCATAGCTACAGGGGATTAAGGTCTTCATTTTTATTCGATTTATTATAATTGTCTTCAAAAAAATTGTCAAAAAAAATTTTGAGGGTAAAAGTTATTATCAGCGTAACATAAAGGCGAGATAAACACAATTTTATTAATTTGCCTTAATCCAAGACTAATAATAGCAATTAATTTTTTCCAACTGTCCAAAGTGTGTATGTACTCAATGAATCCTCGGTGAACAATATGAAAAAAGATCTGATAAACATGAGTGCGGAAATACATAGCTTTAAAGTAACAGGCTGCTTTTATCAGTTTTTAATATATTAAAAAATAACGGTTAAGTAATCTATTAAATTTATTTATATTTGAATAATGAAATGAATGAAATGAATGAAATGAATGAAATGAATGAAATGAATGAAATGAATGAAATGAATGAAATGAATGAAATGAATGAAATTAATGAAATGAATGAAATGAATGAAATGAATGAAATGAATGAAATGAATGAAATGAATGAAATGAATGAAATGAATGAAATGAATGAAATGAATGAAATGAATGAAATGAATGAAATGAATGAGGAAATGAATGAAATGAATGAAATGAATGAAATGAATGAAATGAATGAAAATGAATGAAATGAATGAAATGAATATGAAATAGATGAAATGGAAATGAAATGAATGAAATGAATGAAATGAATGAAATGAATGAAATGAATGAAATGAATGAAATGAATGAAATGAATGAAATGAATGAAATGAATGAAATGAATGAAATGAATGAAATGAATGAAATGAATGAAATGAACGAATGAAATGTGATGTTTAGATATTTATTTGCGATATAAAAAAAAATAAAAAAAGTTACTCTCCGGCCGGGAATCGAACCCGGGTCTCCCGCGTGACAGGCGGGGATACTTACCACTATACTACCGAAGACTTGAAGATTCGTTTCCCTAACCATGTAAAGAACCAAACTATGACTTTTATTTAGCCGCATAGAGTATTTTTAAACACTCACACACACACACCTACATTCCTATATTTATAGATACCATACACGTTTCTAAATATTTTAATATTTTAACATTATGTCTAAGATTATCACCAAGGTATATTTATTATACTTGGTAATTAGAATTTGTATCATTTAAAGCAATTACCTAATAATAGTTGTATAATGTACTTATCTAATCTATTATATTAAGAGATTAATGCGTCTATATTTAATTCTTAAAAACTTAGAAGTATGTTAGCAATACAATTTTACTGTATTACTGTTTACTATTATACGATTTGAATTTTTCCCAAAATGATTTTGTTCTAACTTTCCCGCCAACGATTTGGCAGTGAAATCCTTAGATTAAGGTGAAAAAGAATTTTTATGGATACCTACTTACTTACAAATTTTTTGAAACTGCAATGAAAAAAAAAATAATCTCTTTGTTTTAGAAATACAAATATTTTTTGTGCTGCCTTTTTGTCTATAGGGTGAGCCAAAAAACTAACCTGTGGAATTTATGGGTTAAAATAAACCTAGGTAATAACCGAGAAAAAAATATCCCCGGAAGACAGGATTTTTAGCTCAAATTTAAAAGGTGTCGGTGAACATTCAAAGTTTTCCATTTAAGTAACACGTAAAAAAATATTTTTCCATTAACAGTATCATACCATTGAAACGGTATACGATCAAATTTTTTACATCGCGGATTCTTGTAGAACATAAAATTTACTAAAATATCTATCTGAGAGTAATCTAGTTTTTTCGCTAGATATGAAAAATTTTAATCAATAAACACTAAAACGGCATATTTATGTTGATTTTTTTCACTTTTCAACGCTTTCAAATATACGAATTATTGAATTGAAAAAAAATACTCTCAGATAGATTTTTTAGGAAATTTTATGCTCTACAAGAATCCCAGATGTAAATTTGTTTATCGTAAACCGTTTCAAAGTTATGGTACTTTTAATGGAAAAAGATTTTTTTACGTGTTATTTGACAGGAAAACTTTGAATGTTCACCGACACCTTTTAAAATTGAGCTAAAAATCCTACCTTCTGGGGATATTTTTTCTCGGTTATTAGGTTCATTTTAATCCATAAATTCCATAGGTTAGTTTTTTTGGCTCACCCTACACTATACAGGGTCCCATGTGCGAATATTCCGTGGACAGAGAATTACTACGTATTTTTGGAATAAAAATAAGTTCATTGGATACAATTTACCTCTACAGTATATCCACCCCCGGATTGTCTTTACAAGAGGAAAAACTTTTTTATTATTGACATTTTGAGAAAAATGCATTCTTCATAAAAAAATGTTTGCTTGTTCTAAAACGATTAATCCCGTTTATACTTTTCCAAATTTTCATACCGTTTTAGAGAAAATGAAGAAAAACATGACTGAATACTGAATATGTCTCCAAAAAATCCTATATGGGTATTTCGCCACTGCAAGAAAATCTACAAAATAAAATAGTTATTTTTTGTAAACACTTCTGCGTTAATCCCAAACGGAAACTACTTGTCAGAAGTTAGGTTTACAGATATACAAATTTGCCTAACGAACAAAAAAATGCTTAACGTTTCGGAAAGTTTATCTCTTTCTGTCGTCGGAAGCAAAAAAAATACCTCGAAAAATACAAAGAATAAAGAAAAAAACTATTTAAAATATTTAAATTCAACTATTCGAGAACACTTTAGTTTTTTAAAACAGATACGTCTACAAAAACCGTTGACGTTCTGTTAAAATGACACTATATCAAGTTAAACTTCAAAATTAACAATTACTACCTGATAACAATAAAATTACTTAATAAGGTAAAACCAAAAAGCCCCAAACTTTCTGTATGATTATTTTTAATTTTTACGTAGGTATGTTATGTTTATTTATGTTATGTTCTTTAAAATCAAAGAAGCGATTGCCATACATTACTGACATCTACAGATGCATGAGCATGAGCAATACATTTATTTTTTATTAAATCTCCCTTTCTTAAATAATCTTTATGTCCTTCGAACATTTAAGGGCCTAGATGTTTCACCAATGTAAAATTAATCGCATTCGCATGGTATTTGGTATATTACATTTTTTGTTTGTTGTTCTGTATTCATTGGATTAGTATGTGATAAAATGGATCTAAGTGTATTTTGTGTTTTGAAAGATATTCGTATGTTATATTGTTTTCCTATCCTTCTTATTTTTTTCCGAAACACCTCGTATGTATGGAATGTAAGTTAAATATATTGTGTATTGTTATCATTGTGTCTATGATTTGGGGTTTTTATTTCGTTTAATGTTTTGTCAATAAAATATGGTTGGAAGTCCTAAATATCAAAAGGCGTCTCTATGGTAATATCAATTCGATTTCATTCTTTGATAGATGGTTATTATTAATTTTGATTAATATCATATTCTTTGCTGTTGTTAAAGTATCATATTTTCCATTTTCCGATAACTATCATCACCCTTCCTTTTTTTAAAACAACGAAAACATTACGTTAATTAAAATTCTATGAATATTAACACTCTATCAAAGAATGAAAACGAAGTTTTTATTAATTTTCTCTAAAACGGTACGGAAATTTGGGAGAGTAAAAACAGGATTAATCATTTTAAAACAAGCAAAAATTTTTATGAAGAATGCATTTTTCCCAAAATGTCAATAATAAAAAAGTCAAAAGATTCCTCTTGTAAAGACAAACCCTGGAACAAACTGTATACAAAAGTTTGAAAAAGTATACGAAAGATCACTTAATTTGCAGCCCTAGATTTTAACGATTTGATAGTCTTGTTTGAACTTACCAGTTTTTGATATTGTTTTATGAGGAGTAAAAATTACACTTTTTTTAGCGTACGTTTGAGAGTTCAGGTCACAAAAAATCATTTCTACTCCAAAGAGAATATGCAATTTTTTTTCTGACGTCACAAATAATTTGTTAAACAATTTCGAATGTTGCCAAATAATATTAAATGATTTAAAAGTAGTACCTCGTAGGTAATTATATATAGAGAAACTATGGTTACAACTGGTTGAATTTGACTCTTTATGTCAATTTAATAATATACTTTCGTACTATTCTGCTAGGAGTAAAAGTGCTTTACTTTTATGTTTAGGCGTCAAAATGACTTTTTTATATCACGTCGCAAAAATTAATACTATTGTAGCGTTGAAAAAAAAATTACAAAAGTGTTCTTAGGTAAAGTTAGTGTATTGTACAAAGATTGTTAGTGTATTCTACTACAGTGTAAACTATGTTACATAGATTACTATGTTATGTGTGATTCTACCACAGAACAGATACAAATCAGAAATTTCATTTATGGGATTTCCGTTGTCAAGATTTTATTTTTTATGTTATATGCGCGCAGGCGGCACAAAACCATGCGCAAGGTTTTTGTGAGGTTGC